TTATTTGAAAACCCAAATGTTTCTGTACTCAAATGAAATTCGCTTATTCCAGCGTTATGTGCCCGTTTAAACTCAACTAAAATTTTTAATCGATGCGATGAAAACTTCACAACAAAGCTGTCTCGAATTTGAGCGTGTTTCCTAAAATATTTGCTTGAATTTAGCATCAGCTTGACCAAAAAGTCAATAACACAATGCTAATTGATAATTTTCCTTTCCAAACAGACTTTCTCTTCTACAAAAAAACACACAAAATGTACCTTAAATCTTCGCTCGCTCGATTTTCTTTCAGCAGATTCTAGCCGCGAGGAAAACAGTGATTCATTCATCCAGGGCAAATTTGTCGCTTGATCTTTTGTCTTTTTTCCTTCAAAACGACAGCTTAGTATTTTCTTCAACTTCCACTTTTCATCTGTGCATTTCGTCGGTGTATTTTACCGTCAGGAGAGGAGATTTGTTGAATTTGCCTAAATTTTACCGCGCTAGCTCAGTTTCTTAGCGTGCACCCACGGGAAAATGGTAGTGGCTGACTGACCAATCAGAGCGCGCAATTTAGTTTTGTTATGTTATAAATAACTATTTTTAAACATAGATTGATGGTAGTCAACTCAAGCACGTAGGGCCAGCTGTGGTACCACGGTTTGAAACGTGCGGAAAGAGAGTCCAAAAACAAGATTTCATCCACGGTTAACTGTATTTTTTTCTGCTTTATTAACGCGCGCGTTCGGGTTATTTAGTTGAAGTTTTCTCCGGGCCAAAACGTTAAGTTGGCTTTACCCTTTCGACGCTGACTCTCTTTCCAGGTCTGTTCACTGTGCCCCTGATGAGAATGACAGACCTTCTGAGCGGACTAAAATTTTTTTAAAATAACATCAGTCTATGTTCCCGTCTATATTAGTGAGCTCACTAGAACTTAGTAACAGTGTAACATAGCTATTTATCTATTTAGTTCTCGTACCATAGCTAAATGAGTATTTAACACTTACTTAATGCTATGCATTCTTATTAAAAAATAACTAACGTATTTATGGCTATTTTTCCCGCAGCTACATGTAGTTTACGCTCAATGAACTGATGTGTAGTCATTGAACTACTGGTGTGGTTATTGATCTGTTGTGTACTTATTGAACTGCTGTGTCGTTATTGAACTAACAAAAAGGATTGCGTGACTTACAAACGGATACCTGCAATTCAAAGATGTGAGCACCGACATTTTTGTGTCACTCTGTTGTAGCAATCAGATGTAATATCTGATAATAACTTCAGAACTCATTCGAATGTTTTTCATTAGTTACGACGCGTCCAAGCGCTGCTTTTGCTGTTTGAAAGCAAACAAAACCTCGCATTTGACTTCACTTTTCAATGCTGTAGTTAAAAAAAAAGATATGGCTAGGGATCTTGATTGTGACATATAAATATTCATAATCAAATTAGGACCAGAGAAAAAGTCCGGATAATCGAGAAATCCGAAAAATCGAGGTCCGGATAATAGAGGTTCGACTGTACATTCCAAGCAATGTTCAACAAATGACTGAGCCGTTGAAAAAGATGCAGTCGTAATGAAAAGCCCCTAAAGTTGATCAAAGAATGGTATTCGTCCTGTGAATACGTTGACAGTTTGCGAGGTGTACATGTACATTTAGGGAAGGGGTTCCATCGACCTTCCTTGTACCACGATATAGATATAACTTTCCTTGTACGTCCGAGGGTTAACATTGATTAGGCTTGATTACTTCGGCCGTAATTTCAGATTTCACTGAAGCCTTTGATACCGTCTCCCACGAAATATTAGAGAGCGTAAGCAACGACGACGGCGACGGCAATGAGGCTATAATGGAACCAAGCAATTCGTGTAAGTGTCAACTTACCTATGTTCGCTGAATCCCTCCCTTCCTCCACTAACCCTTACAAAACCCAACTGACTTTGTTTTTCTGGTTCCGTACCACTCTACTTATTACGTATTTTAGTCCTGGAAATCTTTCTTTGATCGTGCATAGTCTACTTTTAAAAAGTCACCATCCCGTGTATTATGATACTGGTGTTGTAGTTTTAAGGTGCCTCTGCATTAACCCTAAAACAAGAGAGGATAAAGGGGACAGAGAAGGCACCCCCCATATACACCCTATGCCATAGGTAATTCGTCTCGAGTTATTTTTAGAATCGGG